AAATTTTATAGAATTTAATAGTAAAAGTTATAAATCTAATAAAGTTAGAATAACTAGTAGTTTATAAGTTCTACTCTATAGTTATATAATAAAGCTTTATAAGTAGTATTACTCTCTATCTTAATAGTATTATTTCTAAAAGAGTATATATATTTAATTTATATAATAAGTAATATTAATTACTATAGTGTTAGTATTTATAGTAATAGCGCTTCTTTAGTAAACTTATACGTAGTTCTTATAACTAATTATAATATAATTTAATAAAGTTAGAGTATAGAGTCTAGATATAGGTAGTTTTTTAAATATAGTATAGTATAATAGATATATTAAGTTAAAATTATATTACTAGTAAGATACTATATTATAGAATAAATACGCGTATACGTAAGGTTTTAATATTTCTTACTTAGTACGCGCTAGGCCTAATTAGGTAGAGATTATAGATTTAATCTATAATATAAATACTATACTATATATCTTATATAATTAAATTTTTCTTAAAACTAATACTTAATAGTATTTAATACCTTCTATCTAATAGTAGAAGATACTTTCTAAATACTTTTATAGTTAGTATAGCTTAGTGTTTTACTTACTATAATACTTTCTAAGATTATTAGTTCTATTAAACTATAGTTTTATACTAGTATATACTCTAAATATACTATTATAGTATTATACTAACCTAGTTAGTATAGTATTTTATTATACTTCTAATATTACTTTTCTAGATATTAGTTAAATTACTATTTTCTAGTATTTCTAAGTAGTTATCTTACTTACGTAATTATTTTATCTAATATTACTAACTAGTAAAAATATAGTTAGCCTAAATATAACTACTATTATAGTTTTAGCTAATCTAAAGAAAAGAGCTAAGTCTATATTAATAGTATTTCTAATAGTTATTATAGCTATATATATTATATTAATATATACTAACTACTTCTTATACTATATAGTAGAATATATCTCTATAGACTTTACTATTTATATAGATATTAGAAAGTATAAAGATATATTACTATAAGAATATAAAGTAGTTAGTATAGATAAAAAAGTATATAGATATTAGTTTAGTAGAAAAGAGTTCTATTATAAAAAAATTCTATTATCTAAAGTATTATATAAAAGTCTAATACTAAGAAATATTAGAAAAAAATAAAATAGTAGATAATAAAATAATCTCTAAAAAGCTTTTATTAAAAAATATTTTCTTTTTAAATAATTCTTAGGTTATTAAAGATTTAATTTATATAAGAATATCTTTATATACTAGTATACTACTAGTTATAGTTTTAATATTTATTATATAATATTTTTTCTACTTATATAAAAAAGCTATATTTAGATAGAACTAATTATAAGCTAGCTTTAATTCTCTAATAAAAAGGTATACTTTACTTTTATTTTAATCTACTATAAAACTAATTAGTAAGTATCTAACACTTAAACACTTTACTTATTTCTTACTTATATTTTTACTATAAAAGTAATTATAGCTTTTAGAGCTATTACTAGTAAATATACTTATAGATATAAGATTAAAATAGTATAAATAGTAATAACTCTAAAGTAAGACTAACTATAGCGTACGATTTTATTCTATCTACAACAACCTTAGAGCTCTGTAAGTAGAGTAATTATAGTAGGTCTAAGAATATTCTTCTATGTCGTAAAGGTCTACGTCGCGAGAGTCTACGTCGCGAAAGTCTACGTTGTAAAGGTATGTATTACAAAGACACACGTTGCGTACACGCGCATTGCGTAACAACAGGTTAAAGAAGATGCGTTGCGAGAATGCTGTCGCGTGAAGCGACGCGATTCAAATATATGTCTTCACGACAAGAACCTCTTCCACTCAAGCACACGGCAAGAGTAACGTGAAGCGCGAACAACTCCTCTCTACAAACACTGTCCTGCAGCCCGCATCGCGACAACACTCTCTACAACCTACGAACGATGCCACAACATATCCAAGACTACCAGATCGCTCATTTCCTCACCTCCAACATCATCCCTGTCGCGCTCGCATCGCTTCCGAACGACGCTCCAAGTGACCGCGAATGCTGCATATGCCACCGAGCCTTCGCTGAGCCTCCCACAGATTGCGCGCAACCCGTATCGCGTGAGGACGAGGACGAGCGCGAGTACGCCGTGCAGGTGCAGAACCGCGGCGCGTGCGCGCACATCTTTGGGCGGCGGTGTATCGAGACGCACATCCGTGGCGGCCACCCGTGGAGCCACACCTGTCCGTTGTGTAGAGTCGAGTGGTTTCCGGCGCCGCACGGTGGGCGGACGGAGATGGTCGCGGCGGTGAATGGCGCACTTACAAGATTGGCGCGGCTTGATGCGGATGACGAGGGTGTGCGGCGCGAGCTTGAAGCTGTTGACATTGCGTTGATCAGGATGAGGGAGATACTGCATACGTATCGATGGCTATAGTGCTGCATGGCAACGCGCGTAGCCGTGGGTCATTCGCGTTCGTAGATGATAGCAATGCGCATTCCCCATCTCTTGCACACTCGCTCGAGTCCGTCCGTTCTTCGTGGGTAGCGAGCGTTTTGACACGTTGTCATTCCCGAACGTGAGCACCACACGCGCGTTGTCGATGTGACGCTTAGCATGGTCATCATCGACGCAATGAGACGTGGCGCGAGTGGGTAAATGACGTGAAACCCTCGTGGCTGTGACGGACATCACTACCCGACTGGAGTGATGGTATCGCGTGGAATTTAGGACCCAAGGCTGCTTGCATGGATTACGCAACACAATCCGAGCCTCACGACGTTGAGCCACAGCACTGGCATTCTAAATATTCCGACGTGGCGTCACTCTACTTTTATAACAACGGTTGCCATCGAAGATTGCGTATCGCGAGTGGGGCCTTTCGGTGTGATATCGCGGTCGCAGCATAGGCGCGTGGCGAGTGTCCTCGGGAGCTTAAGTTCAGTGATAACCGTGTTGCATAGCATGCGACGCAGTGAATGGATGTATGTTCTGCAAGGCAATAGCGGACGACAATAGGATATTCAGGGCGAGATTGATCGGGATGCGATTAAGTTTAAGGACTTTAATTCGTGTTTGTAGACGCGCGGATGCGACGTAGGTACCGCCTTATCCCGGTTTGATGCGCACATTACGACTTCTGCTTCATCTTCTTCCCGGCCTGAGTTGCGACGTTATCCGCGTCGTCCCGCTGCAGAAGTGCCAGAGCTTCATGAAGCAGCCTCTTCTCACCGAGCCTGACTGTGATCGCCATGCGATGGCGCATAGCCAGATCGTCATCTTTAAGAAGCGTCTCGTCTTCTTCTATGGTCGTGGGGTACGTTCCAAGCTTTGCAATCAGAGCCTTCGATACGATCGCTTGGTAGTCGTCAACGCGCTTCCGCTTCTCCGAAAAGAGCTCTGGCTTTTGCTTCTTGATGCCTTTGAACACAGCCTTTACTTGCTCTTCCAGCTCAGGAGAGACCTCGCGCAGTTGAGCCGAATACGTGAGCTGCCCTTCCGAATCTGGGTCTCCGGAGTCGCGCTCGATGATGAAGTACTCTTCGAACTCTTCATTCTCTTGAAGCTTTGCCTGGATCACTGTCAGCTCAGGCGCCCATCGGGGATGTGGCAGTCATCATTGTACCTCGGCCTTGCTAACGACCTCTTCCGACACTGTGAGCTGTGCAATGAGCGCTGCGCGAACGAGGTTCCAAGATAGCTCCGCTACATCGTAACGAGCATGTTCGGGTGTTACGTAGCCATAGCGGCGTAGTAGCTCAGACGTTGGTAATGGGCCGTAGTAGTTGAGGACCTCCGACCCAGCTGGCAGAGTCGATCGAAGCGACGTAACTTCGAGACTGTCGCCATGGTTGACATGTGCCTGTCGGGGACTGTTAGCTCACTGAAGTATGCGTCTGCGCTGGCATGCGACTCACGTTGAACTCGGCATTCGCATTCAGTATATCTGCCATGGGTACCATTCCAAGAGGGGTGGTGCCGTCGCGATCTTCGACCCATCCGTCTTCTTCGTTGTCGGACTCCTCGTCTTTGTTATCCAGGTCGAAAGCATAAGACATAATCGTGCTGCCCATGCGGTGCGCAAGATCAAGAAGCTCTTGACTACTCAAATTTGAAGCCCCTTCCGGATAGAAAATCTTCGGGTTTTGCTCGACGACAGGAACAACGCGCGATCTCAACATGTCATCACTCTGCTGCTTTCCAATCTTGTCGACCGAAAGGCAAGTTCCCTCAAGCTCCTTCAGTTCTGCTCCGGACCAGAAGATGGGTGTATCGAACGTCCGTGGTAGTACGTCCAGATATGGCTTCCAGCGTGATGCGTCGCCCTGTAGATGCTCGTACATCATGACCAGTATGAGGGACGTCCATGAGTCGAGTGGTTCTTTCTCATCGTCGCCTTCACCACCGACAAACGCGTCGAAGACTTCTGGCAGTTTACTGGGAAGTTCGGAAGTCTCCACGCTAATGATCAGGTCTCTGGGAATGGTGAAAAGCGTCGTATCCTGGGGTATGTCTTTCTTTGCGACTATGCACTATCAGTATTCGCTATTTTACGTTTTGCTTGACCGGAGGGCATACTGATTCCTCGGCCAGCGTCTTTGTGTCTCAGATCTTGTATTTCCAGCAGGTCGTCGCGGAAGACACCGCCGCCGGCTTTGAACCAAGCCAGAAAGCGATCTGTGGCGCCTTTGAAGTCTTCATTGGCTGGTGGACACGACATATTGAGGCAGCAGATGGATTGTGGTAGCACGACTTGATGACAAAGGCGACGTGGCAGAGCTTGCGCGCTTCTGAACGCGTTGATGGTGGTCGCGTTGGTGCAATTGGTGGGTGCAGAATCAGACGCGACTAGCGCGACGTCGGAGATAATCCCAATCTCCGGGCCGTTCCCGAACGCATCGCCGCCCAAACACACTCACTCCATCTTCACATCATGGCAACGGAACGTCCTAGATGCATGCATTTAATTTACGTAAAGCAAAGTAACTCTACAGGTCCGAAGGCACTGAAGAGTCGCGACGCACGAATCGAATGTTTCCCCGCCGCTGCCTATCGCCCTCAACACCCCGCCACAGTGCGTTCACGGCATCTTCGACTTCTTGCACTCTCTCAACTATGTCAGAACTATCAATCGTCACCTCTTCCATCCGGCGAAGTTGCTCCAGGAAGCCGATCGCTCTTGTAATGCGGCCTGCGCTCGAAAGGATCGCGTCGTGTTGTCGCTCAGACAATCTGTCGCGGCGTCGCAACGCTGGCGGTGTATGTCCCCGCTGAGACTCTCGATCTGACAATCGCCGCTCGATTTCCTCACGTGATAATGCGACCGGGGCCGCCGCAGTCGCCGCAGCAGGTTGTAGGGCCGCATCCTCAACCGATGGCGTGGCTTGTCGCAGTTCCGCCTGCATTATTCTCCGTGCCATCTCCTCGTCTTCCTCCTCTGCGCTGCCACGACGCATGCCTTGCGACATGTCCACACCCGTGGACGCTCCGCGATCGCCTTCGACGTCGCGACTCACGCGCAATCTTTCCTCGGCGTCAGCAATCGCCTGGGTTGTCTGATCGATAGCTTCTTGACCATTGGCCTCTGCGGAAGGCATACCACGTAGAGCTTCACCTATGTGTTCGAAGAACCGCTGAACATCTTGCTCATTCGTATCCTCCAACCCGAAGATAAGCTCAATTCGCCGATCTCTCAGTCCCACTGCAGGCGCACGAAAGCGACTTCCCTCTAGAAACGATGACGCTGCAGACTCCTCCGCCTCTTCGTCGATGCTTCCGAATGCATCGCCCTCAGCTTCGCCAAACCAGCTCTCGCGACATATTGGGCACCTCCTGCTATATCCTCTACCGCTGCTCAGGTGCTCTTCGATACACGTCCTTCCGAACACATGCCGACAAGTCGAGTTGGCGTGGGTGGAGCGTACACGGACTGGGTAGTCGCCGGCTTCTTCTGGCGCAGGAAAAGGTTCGTAGCACAACGTACATACCCGGTCGCTTTCTGGTACATCGAGTAGTGGCACGGGTATCAAATGCGATAGATACTCGCGAATGCGTCGTTCAACTCGTCGACTGGGCATGTTGAAAAAGCTAATCTACAGGATTGCGCAACGTGTGTAGGTATGGTAAGGAAGCAAGAAACGACGTTCCTGCAAAGAGTCCTTATGCATTGTTTCGTGCTTCACATTCAAGCCTTCAAAGTTGCGGTCACGTACGGAGACATTGTAATGGCTTCCACGCGTTCAATTCATGACATTCAGTAGGATGCACATCAACGTTTCCAGTTCTGGTACCCTGTGCAAGCATGCAACTTCACCGCCGACAGCAATCTCTTCGTATCAGGGTATCTAATTTCTCCGCAATATCCGCACATAGTAATCCACGACAGACCAGCCTGCTGAACAAAGAGACAACTACAAAAACAACCATGGCATTCCAGTTCTCCGCGCCAACGCCCATTCTGCCACCGAGTAGCCGAAGCGGCCTGCTATATTTGTCGTACGATTCACGAATTGACCCGCCCTTGGGCTCCTGCACAAGACTTCCAGCACTGCCGGTCCCTTTATGTTTTTATAGGTTACACGGATCTTGCGAGTCTATCAGACCTCGCCGGCCTCACCAGATGTGACGATTGTCTGGCCGTGTGCGTTCCTCAGGTCCCTCAAGGTCTGCAACTCGTGATGCATCCGCTTGATTGCCACCCCCGTCCCTGTCTCTCCTACCAAGCAGTCGCGCAGCTTGAGCTCTTACTGCAGTCTCCACCCTTCGACGGCGCTCCGGCCAGGGAGAGTATACCGGCTCTCTTGCTCGAATGTAGAAAATGACTTGATCTGGGCGCAAAGGTACAGGTATAATGCCAAACCACTGCGTCCGGCATAGCGGGCACTTATTACTCCACGCAGTTCGGGCATCCATCAACCTGCGCAAGCAACGATGACCGAAGACGTGGTGACAATCGCCGAAGTCAATTTGCACAGGGTGCTCGGGATCGCTTCCCTCCTCAGGGCTAGGGTCGTCGTATTCTGTGTTGCAAAGCAAGCAAGTGCGGTCTTCGATTTGTATCGACGAGGTCTCAATCTTGGTACAATGGAGCCTCGCGAATGTCCGTGCGTCAGGCGATGGTTGCGGGGGCTGGCGGGGTTGTTGCATAGCTTCTTCTTGTTGGGTATTAGGTCGTGCACTACCTCGAAAGTCGGAGAGAGTTATATATCGACAGTTGGTGAAGGTTAGTTCCAATCGACAGGCGCAAACTCTCGTGAAGCGTTGTGTCGTGAGAGTCGTACTAAAATGTTCTCAGGACGTCGATTACGCCCCATAAAGCCGTATCACGGAGCATCTATTTCCGACGATCGAACGAGAGGCCGTCATTGCTCCATTCTCGGCACACATACGCTATTCTCGTCAACGCGTTCTCCTGCGCAACATCGACCCTATAACAATATTCATTCCGGTCAACTGCAGATACCATATGCCATCCCAACTCCGACAAAGTCGCTATCACCAGACATGACCCTTGCTCTGTTGAACGTGCTTCACATTGATATTCCGCCACATCAACACTCCAACAGCACCGAGGACCCAGATACCAGTACTCACGAGCAACAATCGAGACATCGCGTCTTCATATGAATGCTGAATAGCGATGCGCGTAGGCGAGCCGATCGGATAAGACAGCTGCTTTGCCAGATCCCCAAAAATCTTGTGAAGATCTGGCAACTCCTCCGGGGACAGGTATTGCCGAAGTCGACTTGGAAGTACGTCCGACCAGATCGAGGCGGCGATGGTCAAACCGATGGCCCCGCCGATGTTGCCGAAGATGCTAACGAGAGCGAGCATTGCCGCGACATGCTCGTGCGACCCTGCAGCCAGGATAGCGATCTCATCCGTAACGACGAGGACGCCTTGTGAAATGGAGATGAAGAGGAAGCACACGATGATATAGCCGGTGTTCCCCGGAGCGAGGAAGAGGACCATGAGACCCTGGCCCAGCATGCTGAGCGGGACACCAACGACGAGCGATACGGTTTTGAAGCGGCCAGTGCGATGGATGATGTATCCAGCCAAGACCGCGAAGACCACGCTGACCACGGTATAGGCTTGCGCGACGTAACTCGCTTCCTCTACGCTGAGGCCTTGCACGACTTGTAAGTATGAGCCGAAGTAGCTGTTCCAAACGGCATAGCTGCCAAACAGACATGTGCATAGGAGACATGCGCCGAAGACGGTTCGGTCCATGAGTAAGTTGTATGGAAGGAGAGGTATTGTCGCACGATTCCTCTCCCAAAAGGTGAATGCGATGAGAAGACCAATGCCGACTAGGAACATGCCGACCACTAATGGCGATGACCAGCCGTTGCCCGCCAACGTGTGGAGATTGAACGGCAGCAGAAAAAGGGTAACGCCCACCGAGACCAAGCATAAGCCGATCGCATCAAACTCGCGGCTGTAGTACACCACAGCCTGCGCAACACTTCGACCGCTGCTGCCCTCGCGCACAATTCCCATACTCTTCGCCTTCCGATAATTCCACACCAACAGCCCAAAGAGCGGCAGCGTAACAAGCGGAACAAGCGCACCGAACATGCCAAACGCCCACCGCCATCCCAGGCCGTTCAGATACCTCTGCGCTAACGGCCCAGCGATCCATCCAGTAATGAGGCCAGTCGAGTTCATGAGCGCTTGCATCAGCGCTCTGTTCTCTAACTTCGTCCTATCGGCGATGAACACCGACAAGATGTACTGCACCCCGTTATTCCCCACAGTATGAAATATCATAGCCGCAGCATACGTTCCCACGCCCTCGCACACGGTCATCAAAAGCAATCCCATCGTACCGAGAATCACGCAAAGGATGAAGCCATGCGGTCGCCCGAAGACATCGATGATTTTGGCGATGGTTAGGTTGGTCACGCCGCCGACGACGTTGCTCAGTATGCTAACGGTGGGCGTGAGCGAGTGCATGGAGAAAGCAGATGTGACGTATGGTACGAGCGCTGCTGTTGTACCGGCGAGAAGCGTTTCGATGAAGTAGATGAGGTAGATCATTATGTAGGCTGTTGTGAGGGAGTGCTTTGTCCAGGCGCGTGTTGTGGCTTCGATGGCGAGGACGCCTGGTTGGACGGCGGTGGAGGGGGTGTCATGATTGGCTCGTGGGTTTTCAAGGTGGGTGTGGTGGGTGTCGTCGATGCTGGATTTCGTAGGCTCAGCAGATGTGGATGTTGAAGAGGATGGAGAGAGGAGAGGCTCTTCGATTGAGGCGCGGGAAGAATGCATGTCGCAAAGTTGCGGTCTTGAGAGATTTGGACTGTTGTATCGACGGGAGTAAAATCGACCGTATAGACATAACTTCGCGGCTGACTACATCCACAGCTCAGTCGCGAATAGTCCTAGCAACAATGCAGGTTAGAAAGCCACGCTTTCTCGAACTAAGCTGACTTGTCAGCTTCACCGAGTCGACGGCACAACACGAGCACGACATGCAGGTGGCTCAAGCGGCTGGGCAAAGAGCATATTTGCGATCGTTATGGCCCGAAACCCTGAACCTTGCTGGTGCGCAAGTGTGGGGGCTCAAGATGCACGGCTGACATGCGTTTGGGGGCTACATCATGCTCGCGGAGGCTTGTCGCACGAAACTGCCTATTCTTGTTATGGTGCTGGGCGGTGCGGTTGCATCTTTCACGCGTTAATGGTGAATTCCAAGGTAATACTGCACACGTCCGAAAAGAGTCAAGAGTCAAATTATACGCGCAGTAGCTATCATACCCCCCCGCAATCACGTCAAAGCGCCTAGCCTTACCTATCTCAGCAAGCAGCAACATCTACCAGTTGCGCATATCTAGTGAACTCCTCATCACGTGCAAGTATATCCCGCTCCTCGGGGAAAGTACCCAACACCAACTCCACGCCACCATCTGCCTTCAGTGGGAACACCACTAAGAACCTAAACCGCCCACTGCCGCGTTCCAGCTGCGGTCTCATCGTCTCCGGCGAACCTCCGTTGGCGAAGTAGACATCACCGAAGCTGATCTCGTTCATCTGGAAGAGAATCATGTTGGAGATCATGGCGTGCATGTGGTCAAGACCCATGTTGGCTGTGGAGAACCTGCTATGATCTGGCAGTGACTGCAGTAGAGTGAATGCGTCGTGGATCAGTGCTGGCATCATGCGCGCAGCTGAAGCACGTAGCATTTGCGCGATACTTGCAATACTCGTGGTTGAGGCGCAGAGTTCTTCTACTGGCATGCTTGTCCGGTTGAGCGTGAGTAGACTGCCCATGTATGAGTCTGGTAAGAGGGAGGAGAAGTAGGGTCGTCCGTCCGTCGGCAACTCCAGAATTGAGCAGTCGTCAGGGCTGAATTGTTGGCCATTGGCCTTGGCTACAGCGTAGCGAGCTCGTAATGCCGAGCGCCAGAAGAAGGCTTGTACCATATCGCTAATAGATGTGGTGACGCCGTTTGCAGCCGGATCGCTTGTGACGTCCGCTTTGAGTAACTCGACCTTCTCGGGGGGGATCAGAAAGAGAGTAGTATCCATCTTCCTCTCTGCAGCCGGCAAAGGCCATACCGAGTGCAGCGGGTAGCGTGGCGGTCGGCCGAGAGGCCCCGCTGCCCTTGCAGCATGCTTCGCGAGGACATCGTCCGTGGGAACAAATGGAAGTAAGCCCCAAACATCAGGGTCGATCTCATCCACAGAGCGCGCATGTCCTTCCAAGTCATGCAGTACTTCGGGAAGGCTGTGGTTGAAGCTCTCCGCATCGTACCACGCACATGTTGCTGATGAGTCCCCTTGCAGGTATCTGCAGTTCTCGGCCCACGCCTTGATCGCAATGATAGCACCTACACCATCCAGGCAGCAGTGGTTGAGGTCAATGGCGAGAATGCAACCGCCTTTGATGAAGTTGGCTTGCGCCACAAGAATATCGGCGGGTAGCTGCGGGAAAGTGTCTTGTCGCAAGACCAACCCGTCCCTGAAGGCTGATGGCACGAAGCCGCCTTCTCGTAGGGCCTCGAAAGTCGGAAGTACATCGGATAGATCCTTGAACACCAGCCGGTCACGAGCCGGCTGACCAAAGGGTGGCACG